CCCCCCCCCCCAAACCCTGCCCCAAGAGACCCCCGCGCAAAACGCCCTCGGGGGGGGGGGTTTATTAAAGGGACCCTAACATTAAACCCCAATGAAACCCTAATTAAACCCTAAACCCTAATCAAACCCTAAACCCGAACTTGAAGATCTGGGAAACATGCAGGAGGCTCCCGAGCCCTGCCCCACGGGTCGAAAATGCGCAGCACGCTGTGACGCATTCGACTTTGAGCCGCAGAAGGGTTTGGGTTTAGGGTTTAGGGTTTAGGGTTTAGGGTTTATAGGGTTTAGGGTTTACAGGGCGCACTCGGAGCACGACCGGGGGAAGCGGAACCACGAGTCGCATTGCGAAAGATGCGCGCCATGTTGGCGGAAGTTCAGACGGGACTACGATTTCAATCTCCGGTTGTGCAAATGCTCCCAGCTGTGGCGTCGCATGACCAAACACGCGGAACCGTGGCGGGAGCCAATTTCAGATTAGAACCTGAGGCGATTTCGTGGCATTTCAAGGCCAAAGGAACACGATCTCCGGCGGCACTGTGGTGAGAACTCGAGTCGCCAAACACCAGAGGACCGATGTATTGAGCAGTACAGTGCAGTGAATGCGGCACCCGCGGATTCCCAAGCAGGCAGCATTTAAGTTTGCGTGTGCTTTGAGGATCATCGAGAGGAAGCGAGTATGGTGGGCAAAAAGGGGCCTTGATGTAAACCCGAAAAACACCCAACACCCGAATCCCCAAAACCCTGAAACACTTCTAGACCCTAAGACAAGCCTAGAGCCCTCAACCCTAAAAACCGACACCCTAAAGACCCAAAACACTACAGTCTCCAGCACTAAAGCCGGCACTGCCTCAATGTTGGTTTCATTGGCATACCGCTCGAAGATGTCCATGATATAAGATTTCATGGACTTGGATCGATCCTGCCGGGCTTTAGGGGTCTATGCTAGCCGCTGGCGTTCTGGCCCGGAGGTTCGTTCTAGGCAGCCACATAATGTAGTGGCCTGAATAAGTAGAATAGGGTTTTGGGCTATATTGTACTAAAGTTACAATAAGGAACCCCCAAAATACTATAGGTAATTATTCAGGCCCCTATATGATTTGAAATATGGTTACAGGTTGCTCCCGGGGCGGGTGGCCATACAAGAAGTGCCACAGCAGGGTCTGCTAGGCAACCCTACAGTACACCGGCCAAAGTCTCAAATCAGAAACTACAGCAACTTCTTCTGACAGCACCTCCCCCTAATCTTGCCTGCTACAGCGTCGGCTGGAAGGTCAAAGCTTCTAGTAGCCTAAACCCGGTCAACCCTAAACCCTCACTATTCACCTCGGCGGCTCGATAACCTGTTCAATTATGGTAGTAAGGATAACCGGTCATAACAACAATAACAAGACTAACAAGGATAACAATGCTGACAATAACACCTAATACGATAAGACAAACATAGAATATAAACCCAAAGGAGGTTCGAGCGCGTCCTCACCGAAAGGGGAGAGACTGACTCCGTTGAATCACGGCCGCAACAAGTTTAAAGTTTACCTGGGGTTTAGGGTTTAGCTGCTAAGACAATCCTGAGTTAGTTTTGAGACCAATAAGGATCATGTGCGAACCTGCTGAAACACTCGGTCAGCCCTAATCCCCCAGGTACCTACTATACAAGGCCCTAGGGGCTCTAGTACCCTATATAGTAAGTACTTGGGGGGTTAGGGCAGCATACCCAATGTTGCTTCCTGATCCAAACGGCTTCACCGATCGAGCCGGTGCATCTGACACAACGACACGTTTAGGATTTGGGGTTAGGGTTTAGGGTTCAGGGGGCCCGTGGAATGGGCACCGAGATTTGCACAGCAATACTGCACAAGAGCCCATTGTGTCCATGTAGCAAGCCTGAGTCCACCCTCAACCCAAAACCCCTAAAAAAAACCCTGAACCCTAAACCAAATATCCAAGAGCCGGTAAGCTGCCAATACTTGATTGGGACGAGACCCCCAAAAGACCAAGCCATAAATCCAGATAACCCACGTCTTCGCGCACAAGAACCCCTCTTTAGGGTTTCGGGTTTAGGGGCCCCTTAAAATACTTATAAAGAAAAACATAGGCAGTTTCGAGCATTTGCGAAATTTGCGGGCCAGAAAGGAACCTCTGAACTCCAAACCCTAAACCCCAAACTCTAAACCCTAAACCCGAGCACATCTCTGTCCGTGATGCTCTCTGTGCCGATGTCTATCCTTCCAATGGCATTCCTTGGCTTCGTGGGTGGGGGTCTACGGTTGGGGGTACAAAAGAGCTTAGGGTTTACAGAGTCTAGGGTTTATAGAGTCTAGTAGGGTTTAAGGCTTATAGAGTTTAGGGTTTATAAAGTTTAGTGTTTAGGATTTTTTGAGTTTAGGGTTTCGGGCTTTTAGAAGTCTAGGGTTTATAGAGCTTAGGGATTAGGGCTTATAGAGTCTAGGGTTTAGGGGTTTAGGGTTTAGGGGAGGTCATAGTTGCCCAAAGCAAAAGATCCTATGTACTTTTGCAGGGGACACTTCCCTAAATCAGAATAGTAATTCAAAATGTAATTAGAACCCTACACTCTACTAAATATCGGTACATAGGACCCTTTGGTTTGGGGGTTCACGTTGTATGGTTTGAGTTGCAGGGCCTGGGGCCCGGGGTATGGGGTCTAAGGCATAACGCGTGTACAGGCTCTGCCTCACACCAAACCATCCAAAACCCACTCAGCCAAAGGCTTCTTGAGTAATTCAATCCGGAAAGCATACATGATCTTTAGAAGCTACCAAAGCTAGACTCTAAACCCGAAAATACCCTAAACTTTACCCTGAACCCTAAATCCAATGCTGCTGATCAGCATACAGCACAATCCATGCTCGCGTCCTGCCCGAAGAAGAAGAAGACGACTACGAAGAAGAACGACAGGAATATCAAATAAGGGCTTAGAGGGTTTAGGGTTCGAAACCATGGCAACAATTTATAGAGCAACACTCCAAGAACAAGCAAAACATCCTAAGAGGCATGAGCGGCCCATTAGCAACAGAAAAACAGTAGCTCATAGCATAAGCGACGGCAACATTTCAGCAAACAACACAAAGCTCTTTAAGCCAACAACAACGGCAACCGCAGCAACAACCCCACCAAAGTCACCACAAGCAACGGCAGCATTCCACGTAGCGAATGTCTTAAAATGATCTTGGCGATGATGACAGTTACATTGTACACCTGTTGGACCCAGGGTTGCTTAGAGGTCCAGGGGACTTAGTAAGTCGGTTATAAGTCGGGTTATAACTGGGGTAACTCCATTTATGGTACTTATAACTCTACTTATAACCTACTTACTCAGTCCCCTGGGCCTAAACGCTAAACCCTAAACCCTTAAACCCATAAACCCTAAACTTACCAAGTCCCCTGGGCCTCCAAGTAGGGTTAGGGTTTACAGGTCAGGACGGAGGTCTGACCCATCACCATCTTGCATGTGGGTAGCTTTCTAAAATAGGGTTCCTTTTGTCACTTCGGGTTTAGGGTTTAGGGTTTAGGGTTTATAGGGTGTGTTTAGGGTTTAGTGTTTAGGGTTTCGGGTGTAGGGTTGGGTAGTTTTCTAAAATAGGGTCCCTTTTGGCGTCCTGTTTATATGGGTGCCGTACTATATTGGGGACCCCTAAAAGGGACCCTGACTTAGAGAGCACAGTTCAGAATATTGGGGACCTAAAAAAGGAACCGAACTTACAAAACTACCCAGGTGCTGCCAAGTGTCCAAACGCTCAGCGGCCTCCCATCGGGCATGTAGTTGTAAGTCTCGTTGATGCCTGGAGAGGATTTGACGAATTCAGGCTGCGGGAATTCGGGGCACAGCATTTCAAGGGCTTACGCCAGAATTCGGGATTGAAGTCTAGAGAGTAACGCCATGTCCACGAAGCGCAGCAGCTCGGGGTAGCTTCCTCCTGCCTTTTGATTGTGGTCTAGGCTTCCGGCTTTGGGGTGGGGTTTTGGGGCTTCGGGTGCAGGTGAATTTAGGCTTGGGAGGGGCTTGAGAATTAGGTTTAAAGGATTGCTGCGCTATGCTGCGATGCTGTTCTGCAGCAGCGAATGCGAGGACACGCAGATGTGCCGCATGCCTGTTGTTCTCTGACTCACGTTTTAGGGGCATAGCGTCTGGGAGTAAGGGCGTATCCAGAAGTTAAAGTTTAGAGTGTGCGATCTACATATGCGGGTACAGGATCACTACTACATTACTACAAGTAGGAGCCTTACTTACTTACTTACTTACTTACTTACTTACTTCACGATACCTTGAGTGTACAAGTACCCCTAAGAGCTGCAATACTGGAGACAAACCCAACCCTCGCCTTTGGCATCCATCCGCTCAAGAAGACGGTGGACGACTGTCATGGCGAAGGAGATCGGATCCTTCGCACTTTTCTGCGAATTAAAGCGGTCTAGCTGGGGTTTGGAACTTAAGGTCTAGCGTTCAGGCAGGATTTTGAGCTGGTGGTGGTGGTGGTGTCTGCCATTTCTCGTTGCCGCCGTCGCAGTTGCTGGAGCTGCTGCCGCTGCTAGTTTTGCTGCTGTACACTTACGGTACCACAGCCCTTATAGTAGCCCTTGTTGTAGCCCTTACACAGAACTCCCCTTACCCCAAAGCCATAAACCCTGAACCCTAAACCGCTTGTTGCACAAACCATCGCCGACCTCAGGTTGGTGATGCTCGTGGTTCTTGTTCGTTCCACGGCTGCTGAACAGAAACCTGCGTAACACGAAGTGTCCCAAACCACGAGCATTACCGAATATTGCAGATTCCATAGTGGGCATCGAAGGAGTTTGTACGACAGATGGCAGATTCTGCAGCCGATAGCCGATGCTGCTGCTTCCTCAGCTGTGGTCCTCACTCACACCGTGATTCCTGCTTTGCTTCCTGTGTCCTGCATCGTCGTTGTCATTTCTGAGCCCGCTTGAACCCCAAACCCTCGACTCGAACCGGCACAAGTGTTTCGAACATCTGGGATTGGAACGGGGTGGCATCTTGGCTTCTCAACTCAAGGTTGAAGTGGAGGTAGTTGTTTAGGTTGGGCGCCTTACACTTATGTCGTTGGACTTGGGCGGCGCGGTAGCAACTAAGGTTGAAGGGTGTCAAATGGTTCAGCATTATGCACTAAACTCAAGCCGCATTCTTGCCGACGGCGTCCTCGTCGTCAGATGGGTATCCTCAGCTTCGTCAGAAGGAAAGGTGACTCGGGGATTCCTTGTGGATGAAACTGTTGGAGTTCATGTGTGATGGCCTTGGCCTCGAGGCCGAAAAAATCCATCTCTTCAGGGGCGGCTGTACAGTTTTGCCATGCGGGAACGATATGATTTACCGCTCACATAAACTCACCTTACGGTAATCATCATCACCATCACCATCATCATCATCATCACCGTATTCTTCTTCTTCTTCTTCATCATCATCACCATCATCGTTATCATCTGCATCATCGCCATGGTCATCATCATCGTCACCATCATCATCGTCATTACCATCGACATCATAATCATGATCGTCGTCATCATCATCACCACCATTCAGCTGTGTAAATCACAATAGTCTTCGTCATCATCGATGTCTTTTCAATCCGAGCCAGTGTCGCAACCCAAATCCATAACGGAATGGCCAGGATCATCTTCAGAAGCAGGAGGTTCATCAGTCTATATTATCATCATCACCACAATCATCTCAGCATTAGCACCATCAATATCACCCCACGGTTTATCACAGCATGCTTCAGCCACTCATGATCCCTCGCCATAGCGTTTTGGCTGACCAACAAAAACATGTGTAAACCCTGAGCCCGAATCCCTACTGAAACCACGCTCGCTGAATGCCACCAAGCATCTTGCTTCCATCTGCCCGATGCCTAG